GGGTTCGGCGAGGGGCGTTCATGAGCCGCCCGGCGGCCCGCGGCCCCTGGAGCCTGCGCCGTGACTCACCCCCCGCCCCCGCTTGTGTCTCGCCCCCCCGGCAGGATGCCGGACCAGATCTCCGTCTCCGAGTTCATCGCCGAGACCACCGAGGACTACAACTCGCCCACCACGTCCAGCTTCACCACGCGGCTGCACAACTGCAGGAACACCGTCACGCTGCTGGAGGAGGTAGGTCGGGCGGGGACCCCGGCCCGCCGCCGCCGCCGCCTCGCGGACGCCTGTCCGCCCCCCGAGCCGGGGACGGGGGCGTGTTGGGCTGGAGGTGCCACACCCCCCGGAGCCCCCGGCTCGCGGCCGACGGCGGACGGGACGCGGGCATCCTCCTCCCCACCTGCCAGCTCTTTCGGGGCCCTGCAGTTTCAGAGGTCCGGAGACCGCAGGTGGGGAGGGACGGAGCGAGCTCTGGACACTGGGGCACGCCGAGGAGGAACTCCTTTGCCTGTCTCGCAGCCTGCCCGAGTGGCAGGTCTCCCGTCTGCGCTTCCACTTCGCGGTGACCCTCTCCTGACCCGCCAAGTAGGTGTCAGGCCACCGAGGGCGGAGAGGTGAAGTAGCAGCGCGGCCAAGGTCACCAGCAAGGGACTCGGAGATGGGGAGTGAACGCACTTCTCTGCCGGCTGGGCAGGCTTAGCTGCAGAGATAAGGGCCGGTGGAAAAAACCCAAAGAAAAAGAAGGAACTCGGGCTGAGACTGTCTCCACCCCAGCGCTCCTCCCTGCTAGTCCTGCGGGCCTGCGGTGGCGGGAGCCCAGGTGGAAGGAAATCTACGCATATTTGCCCTGTCTGGGTCCCCTCTCCCTGGCGGTTTTGGTAGGGCTAAGGGCTGCTGCGCCAGGTCTGCAGGGCACACACAGACTGAGAAGGGAGATCAGGGGCCCATGCAGCCTGCAGAGCTGACCGGATTGGGAGAGGTGAGACCTGAGGCTGCAGGAGTAGCTCTTCCTGACCGGCTCCTCCAAGAAAAGCACTGGGGGTGACCAGGGACAGAGTCCGCTGCAAAGCGATGGCCTTTAAATTTTTAAGTGAGTTTCGTGGTAAAGTGAGATGAGTGAGGAAGAGCCTGCAAGCCCAGGAGCTACAGAAGCTTCTGGAGTCTCAGTGAAAATGGGACGTTTGCTCTAGAACTCAGCACAGGCCGTAAGTGCCCTCAGGCATCACTCCTCTCTGGATGAGCCAAACCTATTCCTACTGAAAAGGCAGCCTCCGGTGGGTGTTAGGAAAGGTGATGTTTTTCCCCAGGGGGATTGTGTTTGAGGTTTGGGGAGCATGTTCTGATTTCAGACCACTTTGGTCAGCCCTCTGTAATATTGGGAAGCTTACGTTTCTGTAGGCAAACTTGTCTTGATACCGGTTTTGATAGTCGCCTGTGCTTTAATTAATATCTGCAGAACTGGTATTTGGAAGCATGAGAGCCCTAGATTTTAGAAGCGAGGCCTCCGTTAGCGCTGCCAGCCAGGTGCTGTGAATTAGTATAAACACTTCATTCCAGTTAGGGATGCTTTGTCGAGTTCTCTCTGGAGTCATTGTTAGGCGATCGAAATGAATTTTGAAGTGGATGGGGAAATACTACGTAGGTAGGTTTGTTTGAAACCAGAGGTAAATTGATTTTTTTTTTTAGTCTTTGGAAACTGTAAGTCTCTTGCACTAGCCTTACTGATCAGTAGTTAGTATCTGGGATTAGACAGAGTTGCCAGGCTCTTACTTAATTGTAATAAATTGGAACATGCAGATATAGGAGCATTTTGCATCTTTTATCTGTTGTTATTGCTTGCACCTCTAAAGGATGTGACATTGATTAGACCGTGAAGTTATATTCCTTCTAGATAACTTCTCTGATCTCTTCTAACGAGCTGTCATTAACTTTCTGCACATTCAGATAGTGTTACTGTATCCTCTTTGTGCAGCAGGTGATAAGGGTAGTTTCTGGTGTTCGTAGGATTATTTGTGTGTATTGCACTGCTGCTTTAGGATAGGGCTAAGGTCAAATTATATGCAGCTGCTTTTGATCTTAGTTTGAGGTAACTAAAGTTAAATGCAGATGCAACTGATAGATGTGTGTGTGTGTGTGATACTGCCTTGCAAGGTTAGGCAGAAAAATAGATCCAGCCATAATGAAAGTGTTGTCTACCTGTGAGCTTGAGAAAAAAATAGAGCCAGGCTAGGAATTCAAAAGTGTCATACTGGAATACATTGATGATACTTCTTTTCTCAAAACTTTAAATGTTTCTTCAGGGTGGCATAATTTTGTAATTCTTTTTCTCAACGTGAGTACAGTATTGGTTAACAATTCATTACCCCAGTCTACATCTTTTTAACTCTTAAGTCATATTTTGTGAGGTTGGGCTTTTGAGTAATTATCTTTTGCATACATATGAAGTAGTGTTTTAATTTTTTAATGATAGATGACCCCCACAGTTGAATTTTTTTTGCAAGCTTACATATATGGAGGGGGAACATTATTATTTTTTTTTTTTGCGGTACCGGGGATCAAACTCTCGACCTTGTGCTTGCCGGGCAGGCGGGGATACATTATTATAAATGTCTTAGGGGGATTACAGTTCAGTTTTTTAAAAATACGGGTTTTCTCTTTTAAGGGTACTGCCCCCAAAGTACAAGGAAAACTTAGGGGACATGCAACAAAATCTTATTGGGATATACTTCACAAGCAAGATATTTGGAAACTTTAAGTGTGTGGCTTGTGTTTTGTTTTGATTTGTTTTGTTTTTTGCTATTCTTAGGAATAGGACTTTCGGGTACTTTTTGGTGATGTAGAAACTCCAGAACAAGGATTAATGTGGGTAACTTGGAATTTTCTCTTTTAAAAAAATGTATTTTCCTAGTTCCAGTAATTAAGTACCTTTCTGTTTATGACCTTTTCTGCTCTTTGGATTACTAATTAACATATATAGAGCTTAACCAAAAAATAGATCTCCAAGCTTAGAAGCTCAAATTAACCCACCCTGTCTCTTTTGCTTTGCCTCCTTGGCAAGGAATATGTTGTGTTATGCAGATGCCGGTGCCTTTATTTTCATCTTTTTATGATGAGCATGGAAAGAAACAGAAATACAGGACAAGAGGCAAAGAGCTTGCCTCTGGGCTTCTTCACCTTTGAGGGTAAAGAGTCACACATGGCTGCGGCGTCAGTTTGGCTGGCACACATTGAGTGCCTGTCTTTAGGGGCAGGAATGGCTCTACTGGTATTCAGCCAAGGTTTCATCCTGGTGCCTGAGTGTTTTCCAAGCAGAAAGCCAGAGTTTTGCTTATTCAGCAACCAGACCACACTGATGTGTGGCATTTTACTCATGACCATTTGGAAGTTATGAGTAAGGGACTAGGAGAAGATAGGGTTTTTCCAAGAAGGGAGAGGGCTGACATTTAATTAGGACTACTGTGAGGGAGGCAGTAGGAGAGATTCTCTTTTAAAGACTTGAGTGGGTAATATTTAGTATCTTTTGTAAGAGAGAGTCCAGCATGGTCAGTGAAGGCTTGTGTGGTTATTTTATATTGGACCAGCTTTTTATTTTGGTGGTGATGGAGGATATATGTACTGCCTGTTTACCGAGCTGTTACCCTATACCAAACCTGTGTAGGCGCCTGGTGTACATGGTTACATGTGATCCTCATGTGAGCTCTATGAATGAGAAGAGAAACAATTATTATCTCAATTTTAGAAGAAAATTGAGGCCCAAAGAGATAATGTGACTTGTCTACAAGATTTGGCTAGTAAATAAATGGAGTTAGGAAGGCATAGAATACAGTAGGTTTTAAATGTCCATAGAGACATATTTTAGTGGCTTTGTAGAGATTATAGGGGGCTAACTTAGGGTATATTATGTACTATATTTAGTTGTCTCTGAAGGCACAGAAACATTTGACTGAAGAAATGAGTGTAGGTTTAGAATATAGATTTATTATCAAGGCCTTTGTCATAATAAGAGTGACAGTAGTGATTATTACTAATGTTCTTACCATGTAGAAGCTCTCTTTATGCTATTATTTAATGTTTATCCCCTGCTGTTATCATTGGCCCCATTTTACAGATGAAGCAACTGAGGATTATAGCAATTAAATATTTTCCCCATGGTCACACAGCCAGTAAGTTGTGGATTTGGGAATTAATCCCATTTCTGTAGAGTTCTTATGCATGCCTTTCAGACTTTATCTGTATGTATTTCCTTCATGTAAGTTTTAATTTCTATCCATGTGCTTTTTTGGGTATCATCATCTATGTCAATGACAAGTGGTCATCAGTCTTTGATAAAGGAGTTTGGGTTCTTAAGTGCTGTTTTGTGAAATCTCACACATAAGAATTCATGGCCAAGGCTTGATGTCTGATCTTGTTCATTACCTCCCAGGGTTCTAAAATGCAAGTGCATTTTGAAAGCTGGTATCCTTAATAAGAGGTGCAACTTAAGATAACAGCTGCTAAACTTAAGGAGTCCATTAATTATCCCCCAAAGAGTATGTATTCCTAAAAATAAAAAATCCTTCTCAGAAAAAGTTTAAATAAAATTGAGGTGGATCCCTTTGCTTAAGTACATAAAATGTGTTTGGGTCTGTCCCTGATACCTTGAGGATAGAACAACTAAGGGCAAACTTTTATGTGATACTGCTATCCTGTGTAGAATTCTAGACTCTAGGACCCAAGCCTCTGACCCAGTCTAGATAGTGGACTTGGGATGAGTTTTCTGTGGATGTAGATGGCAGAGGTCAGTGAGTGAAGAAAAGATTTGTGCACAGAATCAAAGGGAGAAGGAAACTCCTTATGTGCTAGACTTCATACTCTTTCTAAAGGAGAAACCTGTTAGTCAGATATTCTATGCTAATGGTGTTTGCTCTTTTACACAAGTCTTTGGTGTTTAAAAACATTTTCTGGATCTGTCATCTGATAAAAGACCATGCTGGTAGCATTGTTAGTATTATTTTAAATGTGAATAAATAAAGGATTGAATGTTAAATGACTTGTGCAGGGTCAAACAGTAGGAACTGGTAGACTCGGAACTGAATGCAAGACTCTGAATTGAAGTGGTTTTTTCTAACTTTGTTTTTGTTTTTGCTTCCTGGCTGCTGGATATTTTGTCTTGCGGGGCTCATGCAAGAGACAGGTATTATGTATTTTTTCATCTCTGCTTTATTTCTAGTGATGGAGGAAAAAATTGGGGATAGGGA